GCGCATTGGAAAACCACAGTTCCAGCTGGGAGCTGCATGTACTCAGCACCTATTTACAGTTGGTCTTACATAGGTTGATACATTCATGTAAATGCAGCAGCAAAGGGAAGCAGATAGTACAAGGGCAGGCTAAGCCCTAAAGGGCAGATCCAGTGCCCTTAAAGCAGCATTTAGGTGAAACTTAGGTGGCATCTAGGTGCCCAAGTCCAAGGTTGTAAACCTGAAAACCCCTATTCAGTTGCCATTTTCACCCGGGGGTGACTACATTTATTAGGATTTTGCTTGCGTTTTACTTTCTGTAGGCAACTGAAAAGTTGTACTTCTGCACGTGTGCAGAAAGAGAACACAAGAGACAGCATGGCTGTCCATGGCCAGGGCATGCATCTGGGAGCAAGCCCTAGGTCCTGATCCGTTCTTGCAAGTCTCTTTATGTTTTACACGCAGCAATAAATGGATGAAATATAAAGGACAATCCTTAGAGCAGTACTTCCTCTTTCCTGCCTTCACCCCTAGAGAGTCAGAATCAGACTCTTCTTCTACACTCTCTTTTTGGCCCAATTAATCCGGACTTCTGTAAAATGGCATTTCTTCAGCAGGAGAGGCTGAGAGTACTCCCAACCAATCTAGCCTATAATCTGGTGCCTAGGGTGGTCACCTGGGGAGGTGGGAGATGTACATTTGAATCTCTCGGTTAATGAAGGGAAGTGATCCCCAAGTGAGCTGTGATAAGCTAATCGTGAGGCTATTACACAGCAAGGTATTACATACCACTAGCATGCCATCTTCCCCTTCTCTAAAAGGAGTGAGCCCTGCTTAATTTTGGGGAGATGGTAGGTCACAGGTGCCTTTCAGAACGCAGGCCAGGCTCCTAAATCCTGAGTGAAAAGAAACCCCTGTCTTGGGGGTAAGCATGGAGGGATTTAAGACTCACCCCTGTCTTCGGTGTTTCCCTGTTGGGTCGCTTTAGGCTGTTACGTGGTACACGTGCTAAAATTCAGCTATCTTCTTACTTTGTGTTTTTAGATACCTCCCACTCATAAGCACCGTACAGGGAGAACTCGGGTGCCTCATTCAGGATTCTGGACTGCTGTTCAGGGAGCAGGCGTCTGAAAAGGTAGACGCTGCGGCATCTCATTCGCATGGGAGGCACATCAGTGCCAGGGTTGTCACAGAACTCAGCATGTTAATTGAGATCGTGCCACACTCACGGTAAGATTCACATAATCACAGTAAGATCGAGATGTAAGGCTCTTTATTAGCAGCCTGCCCTAGTTTAAAACTATCATATGCAGCTCATGTCGATGATAAGACAGGCATTTTAATAGGTGCACAGAAGTCTTATCATCCAATCCACTTAAAATAAACAACAATCCCCACCCCCTTCCCCTTCCAAACTCATACAAATGTGGGACTAAGATGTTAAGAGACCAAGATTTTTGGGAGATGATATATTTTATTGGCCCAACTGTACAGTTGGAATAAGGTTAGACAAGCCCTCAAATGCAAGACATTCTTCATCAGGAATAAAAGGTTGAAATTCTTCAGCTAGGTGTGCTATATAGATCCCATCCTGATAGAGGCAATCGGAGTAGATTTGCTTTGAAATCGTTGTTATTTCCTCGTGATAATCAACTTAAAACTTCATGTTACATTGAATAAAAGTGCCCCTCTCATGATAAAAAAAAAAAAAAAAAAAAAAAAAAAAAAAAAAA